CACTATTTCCTTAGAGCTTTTATGATGAGCTACACTGGAGGGAAATGACAGGATTTCTCCTGAAATCCTGATTAGAAATGATGTATTTCTTTTTTTCTTAAATGAATATACACTTTTCTAAGACACTACTTTTAAATTGAACTTTTAATATGAAGACATAATACAATTGAGAAACTAAAAATCTATCTTTAAGGATAAATTCCTTGGAATTCATCAGGTATTTGTGATTATAATCTACGATTTTTGATAACATAAACATGACATATTTACAAATAGAAACATAAATAACAGAGCGAAAGCTTTATTATTCAGCAGCAGTATAAGAAAGCAGGAATACAAAGACTGAATAAAGAAGGCTCTGCTTGCTCATTTAATCTTTTCTTCTTTTTATTTTATTTTTCTAAATGGCCACCCGCACCCCACAATGCCATTGTTTCTCTGGGATAACAGTAAAACCTAGGTGGTCCTGTTACTATCCCTGATCTCCAGCTGCACCCCATTGTTATCCCTTCACCAGACCAGACCTTTTCTGATAGGGCACCTCCCATTTTAATTGAGCAGGCAACACCACCATTTAACAGAGATGGAGACTGACGGTGAGGACTTCTAGGACTTGTGTTCTTGGGGGTTTTGCTTCATAGAAAGTGAGTGTGAAAACAGCTCAGATCTGTATCACAGCTTGCAACCCCATGCAAAGTCACACATGCACATTCATACAGTTCACCTTGTCAGTATCTTAGCTGTTTATTCAAGCACAGCTCTCCCTCGGGGAAGAACTGAATTCTCATCTATTGTGTGCTCCATCAGAGTTTTGCCAGGGTCTTCCAATGGGCAAATGATCTAAGTTGCTTGAGAAAGGGGACTGTCAAATGAAAAAGTAATCTGGGTGAAATGGTGGTGGAAATTCTATGGGGACTACACCTGAGAAAAGAAAGCAAACATTTTGCAAAAATGAACAATGATGTAAAATATATATAAATAAATAAATTATAAAAAAAGAAAAAGTAAGCCATTAGATTGTTGTGTGGAGCATGTTGAATAAGAGACACAGCCAATTTAGCAGCCATTAAGAAAGTTTAATGCATTAGAAGTTTCGAGTGTGTCAGACTAAATGCTTATATCCTCTAAAGTTCAGCCTCAAAATTAAAGAAAATGAGATTTCACACAACCTTAATTATCCTGAAAGTATTTGGGCAGACCTCACTGCAAGAAAATGAACCATAGGGGAATGAATGTTGATCAAAATATGATCCCTGGGTAACTGATATTACAAGATGTTCTAAGTTACTGGAAATGAATCTTAAAAATTCCATTTTTAGAGGCACTGTTTCTAACTACAACTCCTCAATTCTTATTCTTGGATATCATAAGACAATAATTGAGTGTTATCAATTAAAATTTGTTCTAATTTAAGGATCTTAAAGAAGGCCATACTTAGGAGGTGGCGGGGGTGGGGGGCAGTGGGGAGAGAGAGAGAGGATACTGCATTACTCCAACAGAAATAAAACAACAATGCTTTATCTACTCTGTTCTCCTTTTCTTCCTTCTGTTATTTCTAGAGCCTTCAGGGACCGATGAGGTGCACTGTTTCTTAGAGATTACTATTTTATCAGTCTATGATTTATACATATATTACATTTAATGTAATTTACATATAAATAAATGATTTAAAAAATAACTTTACATCAAAGTTGTTTGCTTTCTATTTTAGCCTTAAGATTTCACTCTCTTTTGCAATCCTCTTTAAGAATAATGTCTTTGCAATGATAAGCCCAAGTCAAAGGGAAAATATAATTAATAGAAATTATCTCAACAGCCAATCTTTGAGATACACATTTATCTTACAAATTATGTTGCACTTATAATCTAATTTATTTCATCATTATTTTTCTACTTTCCTTTGAAAATATTTCAATTCTTATTAGATTAACTGATGCGATGCCTAGTAATTGCAAATTGTATTAAGACACTAATATTGACTAATGCCTAAAGATTAAAGGATTTTATGAAAATTTATATTTCTGTCTTTTAAATGAATGCATATTCAGTCGATCATAATTTCTAATTCTTACTTTCACACTAAAGATCCAAATAGAAACACTTCTGTTAAAAAAAAAATGATGCTATTTAAGAAACTGAAGTCAGGTGAAATGGAATTAATAGCAGAAAACTATATATGCAAAAGGTGAATTACTAGACATCTGTCCAGATAAAGAGAAATAGAACTGAACTGGATTTGGAATAGATCACAGAAAGTATTCACAGCAGCTCATTGTTAGGGGAGCCTGAGTTCACTGTAATAAAGACTACCAGTCCAATTTGAGGCATTTGAATTGAGTATTTGTGTGCCAGAACCTGAGTTCCTGTATTTTAAAAAGACTATAGCGAAATTCTGAAAATCAACCAAAGTTGGTAATCATTTTACACATTTTCTCTTTTCTTTTTAAAGATTTTTTTTTTTTTTCCTTATACCAGCACTGGGTACAGTCAGAAGCTCGGGAGGGTGAGAGAATTCACCAGAGCCAGAGCAGGGAACAGAACAGGCAGACTGATGAACACTGCTAAGGGGAGCAGCGGGCACGACAGGAGAGGTCTGCGCGCCATGTGGGACCCTCGCTGGCAGCCGGGGATCTAAGCGGCGCTGCAGAGGCTGCGGGCAGCTTCTCAGCCCAGCACTCAACCGCTGCACCACCAGGGGAGGCCCATTTTACAAATTTTCATATGACCAATTTTGACAATAAAGGCTTTACCCCCAGGGTTACCTTATTTTTCTATCCATCCACATGCCTGGAATTTCCATGTCAGCTGACTTCATTTGACAATAAAGCATATATACTATTTCCAGGGGACTAAATTCATAAGTTATTCAAATTTGTTTGATGGGGCCATTGAGTCATTTAACACATTTTGTTATTATGAACTTTTTTATCAGAGGAGCTACCCTTTAAAAGTTTCATAAAACCTTGAAATAGTCAATGAAAGAGGTAAAAATCCCAAAGATGAACTTGCAGATTTATATTGTTTGTTGTCTGTGCCTGAAATAATATATCTAAAAATGGACCACAAGTAATTCTAGGATATGCAGTAGTAGACCAAGTAATACAGAAAATTATAATACAAATGTGCATATTCCTGAAGTATCAAATTTATTTATAGTTTATATATATTATAAAGAAATACATATTTTGGTTAAAACTTTTAATATATTCACATATCCTTTATATAGTCATATATAAACATTTAATAAATACATATTGAAAGAGATTATTTCAAATATTGAATATTTTTGAGGCAAATTTAATAAAGGGACTAAATGGCCAACAGGCATATGAAAAAATGTTCAACATCACTTGTAATCAGGGAAATGCAAATCAAAACTACCATGAGATACCAATCTTACACCAGTGAGAATGGCACATATTAAAAAAACTAGCAACAACAAATGTTGGCGAGGCTGTGGAGAAAACGGAACTCTCCTGCACTGCTGGTGGGAGTGCAAACTGGTCCAACCACTATGGAGAGCTGTGTGGCGATTTCTTGACCTACTAAACCTAGAGCTTCCATAGGATCCAGCAATTCCACTCCTAGGTATTTACCCAAAGGACACAGAAACATCAATTCCAAAGAGCACCTGCACCCCTATGTTTATAGCAGTACTATGTACAATAGCTAAGCTTTGGAAACAATCCAAATGCCCCCAAATAGATGACTGGATCAAGAAGATGTGGTACATATACACCATGGAATATTACTCAGCATTCAAAAAAGATAAACACATGCAATTTGCAGCAACATGGATGGCACTGGAAGGGATCATGCTCAGCGAAATAAGCCAGAAAGAAAAAGAAAAATACCGGATGGTCTCACTCATAGCAGGAATCTAGAAAGCTTAAATAAGGGACCAGGAAAAAGAATAACTATAAGAAAGTGAAAATCAAAATCAACAAACAACTATGAACCAGAGACACTCTATGGGAGGTGGGGGGCGGGGAGGGGAGGGATTGGGGTCAAAATAAGGGGGTTGCAATTGTATGGTGAATATAAAAATAAAAGTTATTATAAAAAATGTTATTGGAAGGTTTAAATAAGATTAGCCTTGGATGAGTTACTAGGACAGTTATCACAGAAAGGGACAATCTGTCACTTCACCCATGACTTTGTGGCTTCCCCAGATTGCAGTAGGGCCCAGGAGTCAGCGGCCATGTTGTAAGTAGGAGAAAAGACAGTGGAGTATCCAACATCAAAAGTTTATTTGTGGCACAAGCAAAGCAAATCTTTATTTCAAGCAAAAGCAGCAAAGCAAAACTCCTGCTACCAGGAGGGGACTCAAATGAGTTGTTGTTGATGGAATTCAGGTTAATTTTATCTGTTGAGGCTTTGTGTTAGTTTTCTAGGGAAGATTTGTTAGGGGGAAGTTTCACCTTTTTGTTTCTTTGGAGCTGATTTCCACTGGCCTTGGCCTGTTGCTGTCTGGACATCCACACCACCATCCCCCTCGGCCCCCCACTTCCGTGTCTCCTTGCAAGTGTCTCCTGATCTTGGTCATTCCCATACGCATTGCCATCTCTAGATCTGGAAAAGGTTATTGAATGGAGATGTTCATCTGGTGTGATTATAGTGCTTTGTAGAGGACTGAAGAAATATAGTCAGCCTGGGTCAATATGACTGGAAGGTAGTCTGGTAAAAACTTCCCAACTTAAACTCTCCCTATCTTACAAACATTTGCAAGTGTCCTCCACTGGCCAGACTTACAGAAGTCAAGTTATTGACTTTCTCCAAAATGGCTCAATCTCTCAGAGTACCAACAAGGGTGTGGGGTGGAGAAGGATCTTGAGGAAGAAGCAAGAAGGTACCTCATGCAGAGAATAAGTTGTTTTAATGTTTCTAATATATATTTGCATGTAAATATATATTTTCATTCATTTGAAAATATTTAGTGAGTACTTACTGTGGGCATGGTTCTGTGGTAAGCACTAAAGGTACATCAGTGAGCAGACATGCAATATTCTTATTTTCTTTCAGGCTTAGATTCTAATCAGTAAATGGAGAAGAAAAGAAATTCAGATGCCATAGGTTTTATGAAGAAAATAACATAGGGTGAAGGATGAAGAGTAATTGGGGGCATTTTTATTTTATTTATTTTTTTAAGATTTATTTATTTATTTATACAAGCACTGGGTACAGTCAGAAGCACGGGAGGGTGAGAGAATTCACCAGAGCCAGAGCAGGGAGCAGAGCAGGCAGAAGGACCGAGGTACACTGCTGAGGGGAGCAGCGGGTGGCAGGAGAGGTCTGCGTGCCATGTGGGACCCTCCTCTTGTGGCCGGGGAGCAGCCGGGGATAGAGCCAGCGCTGCAGAGGCTGCCGGCAGCTTTACAACCCAGCGCTCAACCGCTGTGCCACCGGGGAGGCCCCTATTTCGTGGTGTTTTTTAAGAGTTCAAGGAATATCTGTATGAGATACATATGAAAAACGGAGGGGGCCAGGCATGAAAGAATCTGAGGAAGGCAATCTCAGGAAAAAGAAATAGCAATTGCAAAGGTCCAGGGATTTGAACAGGTTTGTTCTGTTCTAGAAAAAAAAAAACAAAGGAGGGGCCTCCTTGGTGGCTCAAGGGGGTTAAAATGCAACCTATGAAGCTTTCCGCAGCCACTGCAGCATGAGTTCGATCCCCGGCCAGGGAGCTACCCACATGGCACAGCAGACCTCCCCTGACTCTCCTGCTGCTCCCCTCAGCAGTGTATTTCAGTAGATCTGCCTGTTCTGTTCTCCATTCTGTCTCTGGTGAACCCTCTCACCCCCCACATCTCTGGCCTGTACCCCAGTTCTTGTATGCATAAATAAATAAATCTTTAAAAAAAGAAATAAAGCAAAGGAGCAAAGGGAGTAAGCGGAGCAAGTAACATTGTAGTGGGATGGGTCTGACGGGAGTTGAAGTTGGAGTGTCAACATTTGGCCTGGTCACTATGAGGCCATAATTTATGGATTACAATACAGAGTTTATGTTTCATTATGAATACAGAGATGCCTTGCAGAGTTTTTTTTTTTTTAAGATTTATTTATTTATGCATACAAGAGCTGGGGTGTAGGCCAGAGGTGTGAGGGGGGCGGGAGGTGAGAGGATACACCAGGGACAGAGTGGGGAGCAGAACAAGTAGATCTACTGAATTACACTGCTGAGGGGAGCAGTGGGTGAGTCAGGAGAGGTCTGTTGCACTGTGTGGGTCACCTCCCTGGCAGGGACTTGAATTTGTGCTGCAGTGGCTGACGATGGCTTCATAGCGCTGTCTTTAACTCCTGTGCCACCATGGAGGTACTGTCTTGCAGAGTTTTAAATAGAACAGTTGAGATTTAATTTGAGTTTTTCCAAAAGATTGTTCTAGTTACTCCTACTTCAAGAGTAGAAGTACACAGTAGATGACAAAACTATTGTAATAATCAGGTTAATCAACAGGGTGGTGTGGAGTGGTGGTAGGTAGAGAAAATGAAGGTACTCAGATTCCACATTTGTTTGTTTTATTAATTACTGTAACTTCCATCTCTAGAAATGATCTCGGTTGAAGTATTAACAACCTGCTCAGACTGCCTGTGGCTACAGGACTATGGAAGTGACAATCCTCACCTCTTTACATGAACAACATGAACTGATATTCAAAAGAATTTGAGAAAACCTATTACATTGCAAACTATTATATTCACTGCCCATATGAAACTGCACTGCTTTTCTTACATCATACATAGTAGAGGGTTATCACCAAATTAATTCTCCAAGAAAGCATATAGTTTAATAATTTACTCATTAAAAATGAAAATTCATTGATTTTCTAATCAAGGAATTATTTGAAAGACAAAGACAGAGTATATGTGGATAGTGTTCAGTTCTGATGTAACCAAGGTTCTAGAAACAAGTTACTAGAAAAGAAGTAACTGTAGCATAATTTGGCATAATTTTCTTTAAGAATCTGAGTGCAGCACAGCTATGGGAAGCAGATTCACATTGCCTCAGATTCATATGTACAAACCATAAATAATACACTGTCAACAGTGGGTAGAATCACCATTCATCTGCCAATCAAATGCTGCTAGTCTAGAATACTTTCAGCCTTTTGTGGTCATTTATGTCATTCTTATTTTGCACCCCTTACTCTAAAAAGTAGATTTTTTTATTAGTCCTCACAGAGTATTGATATGTATAGCAATTCCTTCAACAAAGCTCCATTCCTTTTCACCCAGCTCATCATCATTTTCAAAATAATGTTCATTTTGGACTACAAATGAGATTAGCACATCAGTACTGATGCTTTTACAACAGAAACACACTTTAATGATAAACTATATTGAATAACAAGTAGAAGAAGTTATGTGCCCAATAAGCAATATACTACTATTATTTAACCAGAAAATGGGAGAATCAAATCTGTTCTAGAAAATATCCATGGTGCTTCCACTACAAATCTGAAGAAGACATGGGTTCTGTTCTCAAGAGACTCCCAAAGGAGCTGGAAGCAAACTGTGTTACGAGCCACTTAAAATGCAGTGCCCACACCCAAGAAAGTCTACAAGCTATTATAGTAGAAGAGTTTCCAATGAAGTTTTTCTCAATTTGAAAAGAGAACGGTTTGACAAGATCCAACAGTGGGAAGGAAGTTGCAATCAATGGGAAAAATCCGGAATTTTATGGGAAGACAAGTGAAGCTTCACAAATAGATGAAGGTCTAGCTTTATTCTCCCCCACCCCACCCCACAATCATTCCTTGGTCCCCCTCTGTCTCTTTCCCTTCACCATCCTTCATAACCTCAGAGTCCTCAGCTTCATTAATGTCCACTAGTTTTTTTTGTGTTTTGTGTTATCAAATTGTCTGCTACTTGAATGTCCAATATTTGTCTTTATCATTCTGATTTACTTTGCTGCATCTAATTCTCTCACATTCCTTCCATTTTGTTGCAAAGAGCTGCATTCATGCCTATATACTACTCAGATGTTGTCTACCTTTGTAAAAAAGTCATGTCATCATCAATATATTACATTCCCAAATCATCCATAAAATACTCAAAGTAACAAACATTAGCACAAAGCATTTCACTGAAGTCAAAAAGTATAAATAGAACTTTCTTCTGATTCTGCTATAGTTCTCTCAGTAATGAGTCTGGTCCCAAAAACATGAATGGGAACTTTGATGATAAGCAGCTTCAACTGAATTTAGACATTTGGATTAGATTGCTTCCCTGGATAAGTTAGAAACACCGTGGACGTTGTATCGCTCCAGGCAAGGGATTGACCTAGCAGGGTTTCCTATTTTCAGAGGGAGTAAAATGTGAGAGTAGCTTCAATTACAGTCTCTCCTATTTTCACTCCTGAACTATTATTCAACTATTTGCCAGTAAGGAACAAAGAACTAAAAGCTGAAACCATTGTTGCCTAAAGATTTTCTTCATATATTTTTTTCTTTCTTTCATACCATTGGCAGAATTACAAGCCACAAAGCTTGTTCCTATATTTGAGGAGTCAACCAAAAGAGCTATGAAGAGTTTATTAATGTTGATAGCCATTAAATCCTGAGGTTTCTAAAAAGTTTAACATAACTGCAAAGTAAATATCTTATGGATGTACATTTTTAAACTGCCCAGGGTTTATTATATAGGAATTTATAATAAACATACTCAAAATCATCTTTGACTTGGATAGAAATTGAAATTAAAATTTCAAAAGTTTTCTTTTTTTTTTTTTTAACTGAATCATCAATTGGAACACAATTAATGATGTGAACATGAGCTTCTATATAAAAATGCGTTTTTAAGTTTTGCTATATATTCTTTGGTTGCCAAGTTCCTCATGAGTGGCTTAGTGAACCAGTCAAGTAGATAAATTGTAGGTCAGGAGAGAAAAAGATGCATTTCATGATTTTTCCAGAAAAGATCCTCTAGAACTGATTAAAAAAATCTCCCTCTCTAGAAAGTTTGTGCTGTAGTTGGTCTAACTGGGTTGAGAAGCAACTTGAAAAAGAACAAAAACTGATGGTGGGTGATGATAATAATTGTTCCTTTTGTTCAGCATTTAGTATGTACAACTTTTCCAATTATTTATCAAGTGTTTTTTCATTTATATCACAGCATCATGAATTATAAAACATCACCAACTATTCCCCTATAAGAAATTTAATATTTTATTGCTACTTTGGATTATTCCTGGATCTAGACATCTCTTGTTCCCATCTTTTTCTCTAGCAAGAATGGTAATTAACATTAGATTGATGTGCTTCTGGATCTATAGAAGTGATGTGTTGATTTTTACTTCACAGAGTTTATTGCTTCCAAGCAAGTTATGGGACTACGAAGAGCTATAGAACAAAGAACATCTACCATATTCATAGATTCTTAGAAAAAATATTAGACACTCTGCTAGGAGATTAGAAATTAGAGAACAATGTCTCCAATATCCCCACGAGGTAACTTGCTTTCTTCCTTTTATTTTTCCTTGTGCTTATACAATAAAAGATTCTTAGCAGAATATTTATGTCCCTCTACCTTAATTATAGTGTATTTCTAGACATATGGTCAGTCATCATAGTGCTTTGATCTTCTCATTATACATGAATGTTTGAGTAGGTATTTTCTTGCTCCTTTAATATGTATTCTGGACATGTACTAAGTAAATATTATTGTACTATTTCTCTGGCTTTCATGGGTGTGCCAGATCAAAAAGGACACATAAAAAGGGAACATTAACCACAACTAAATTAATAATTACCTGTGGGATGATTTAGAGACTGAGACAAAAAAATATCATTGAAGACTCAAATCCATATTGAAATCCTTTGCCAGTGTTTAAACAAGACTAGAAACTTCAAAGCTAAAGTGAATTCTTGTGTCTGTGTGTTAGGTCTTCTTAGTGACTAAGGATGTCCCTTTTCAATATTGTTATAAGTAGAATCATGGTGATCTTATTATTCTAACATTAATTGGACTTTCAAATACTTTTGAATTACTTTAGGAAAGCATCAGTTTTGGAATCTAAAATAATTGTGATTTGA